AAAGGCAAAGCCACAGAGAGGCAGAGGCAAAGGCAGGGAGAGAGATTTTCCATTTGCTGGCCCACTCCCCAGATGGCCTCAAAGGCCAATGCTGTGCCCATCTGAAGCCAGGAGCCTTCCCAAAGTCCCCCAAGCTGTTATAGGGGGCCAAGGACCTGGGTCATTCTCCACTGCCTTCTCAGGCCACAGCACAGAGCTGGAATGGAAGTGGAGCATCCGGGATATGAACTGGTACTCACATGGGATGCCAGCACTGCAGGCTGTGGTTTTACCCACTATGCCACAGCACCAGCCCCTTTGTATGTGTTTTTGTAACTAAAGCAGGTTTCTTATAGAAAAGAAATACTTGGGATGCCAGCACTGTGGCATAGTGAGTAAAGCCTTCAGTGCCAGCATCCCATATGGGGCCAGTTTGAGTCCCGACTGCTCCACTTCCGATCCAGCTCTCTGCTATGCCCTGGGAAAATAGTAGATGGCCCGAGTGTTTGGGCCCCTGCACCTGCATGGGAGACCCAGAAGCTCCTGGCTCCTGGCTCCAGATAGGCCCAGCTCCGGCCATTGTGGCCATTTGGGGAGTGAACTAACAGAGGATCTCTCCCTTCCCTCTCTGCCTCTGTAATTCCGCCTTTCAAATAAATAAATAAATTTTTAAAAAAAGGAACCAGAAATGAAGAAAAGTTTAAAAAAATTGGGTTTTGCTTTTTGACCCACTTTTACAATCTCTGTTGTTTAACTGGTGTGTAACTATTTAGACCACTGGCATTTAAAGAGATGAGTGATGCTGTTGAGTTAATATTACATCTGTTACTGCTTTCTATTTATTACCCTTGTTCTTTTTTTCTGTATTTCTCTTCCACACTTCTCTTACCTTTTGTGATTTTTTTTTTTTTGACAGGCAGAGTTAGACAGTGAGAGACAGAAAGGTCCTCCCTCCTTTGGTTCACCCCCTAAAACGGCTGGCGCGCCGCACAGATCCAAAGTCAGGAGCCAGGCGCCTCCTCCTGGTCTCCCATACAGGTACAGGGCCCAAGCACTTGGGCCATCCTCCACTGCCCTCCCAGGCCACAGCAGAGAGCTGGACTGGAAGAGGGGCAACCGGGACAGAATCCGGCACCCCAACTGGGACTAGAACCTGGGGTGCTGGCACCGCAGGCGTAGGATTAGCCAAGTGAGCCGCTGCGCGACCACCTTTTGTGATTTCAATTGAGCATTATGTAGGATTCCATTTTGTCTCCTCTTTTAGTGTAAGTCAAACTTTACTTTTCAACTTTTAGTGGCTGCAACCCAATGTACAACTAACCCAAGTCCACCTTCAAATAACGTGATCTATAAAGCCCTATCCAGTCTATCAATGAGCCCCACAAAGCTATTCTTCATTTGTTGCAATGCTTTTTTATCTCTAGCACTTTTTACTCCTAGAATTTCAATCTCTCTGCTTGTATTATAAATATTTTTAGATGTTATCTGTTTTTAATTGAAGCCTTTGGCAAATTAACCACAGCTTTAAAAATTCCTGGTCTGATAGCTCTAACATTCCTGCCATATCGAATTCTGGTTCTGATGGTCTTTCAGTCTCTTCAAATTGGATTCTTTTTTTTGTCACTTAGTATGCCTTATAATTTTCTGTTGATAGGCAGAGATGATGCACTAGGTGGAAGGAACTGCAGGAAATATGCCTTTAGTGATAACTGTGTTCAGATGTAGGGGCAGGAAAACATTCTCTCAGTATGACCAGATCCCAGCTTTTCCTAAGCCTGACTGCAAACATCACACAGGTTTCTTAGCCCCTTTCCCAAGGTGAGACAGGGTGGTTCCAGGGGAGGGGGTTGGGTATTTCCCTTCCCTCAGGTAGGCAGACTCTGATGAAACCCAGTAGGTTAAGCTCTGATACAAGAACGTTTTCTGAGGGCAGACCCTGCTAAGAACAGAGTGCTCGGGTTTAATTCAGGATAGTCCCTTTTGCTTCCCCGGCCAGAAGCATGAAGGGTGCTTTTCTTTGATACTCACTGTGGGGTTCTGGTTGAGTCCCTGGAGATAAAACTGACAAAAGTAGTAGACCCATATGACAGTCTCTTGAAGCTTTGAACACTCAGCGTTGTCCACACTGAATATCCAGCAATTCATCAGTTCAGGTTTTCCTAGCCAGGCCCTGGTTCCCTGGAAGGTTTTTGTTCCTAAGTTGTGATTCCTCTTATCTACCTCTCTGCTTGACCCCTTTTGGAGGCATGGTTTTCCCTGTGAACTCACTTCTCAGACTATGTTAAGAGTTGTTCAACTTCATGCTTGTTGTCAGGACACAGTGGCAACTTCTAAGCTCCTTACATGCAGATAAAAAAAGACTATGTTTTGTCCCTTTTCCCTTTGAATTGTTTATAAATTATATTCAGATGATACTCAACTTACCATTGTTCAACTTATGGTTTTTTTCAACTTGACAATGATGCAGAAGTGATACACGTTCAACAGAGACCATACTTAAGGTTTTGAATTTTGGTCTCTTCCCAGGCTACCACTGTGATATGACACATTCTGTCATGATGAAGGGCAGCAGCAGCAAGCCCAGCTCCCAGGTGAACAACCAATACTCCACAGTGGACTGTGTTGCAAAGCTGTGATGCTCAGGAGGTTCGATGTACTCAGTGCATTTTCAACCTACAATGGATTTATAAGGATGTAGTCCCACAAGTTGTGGTGCATCTATAACTTTTTTTTTTTTTTAAAGATTTATTCATTCATCTGAAAGTCAGAGTTACACAGAGAGGAAATGCAGAGAGAGAGGTCTTCAGTCCGATGGCCCACTCCCCAGTTGGCCACAACAGCCGGAGCTGTGCCGATCCGAAGCCAGGAGCCTCCTCCGGGTCTCCCACGCGGGCACAGGGGCCCAAGGACCTGGGCCATCCTCCACTGCTTTCCCAGGCCATAGCAGAGAGCTGTATCAGAAGTGGAACAGCCGGGACTTGAACCGGTGCCCATATGGGATGCCGGTGCTTCAGACCAGGGCATTAACCCACTGCATCACAGCGCCGGCCCTCTATAACTGTTTAAAACTAAAATTATAACATTTTCTTGTGTAGTTTAGAGATGCATTTACATGTAGTACATTAACAACCATAACCTAAAGGATGGGAGGAATGATTACAAGATTTCTGGTGAAGTACAACATAAAGGCAAGAAAGTGGAAGACAGGAGTTTAAAACACCAAGAGAAGTTATGTGTAAAATAAAAACAAGTGTCTTTGAGCCACACCAAGTTACATTAAACCTTAATGGCAATTAAAAGGCAAGGATTGTCAGAATGCATAAAAAAGTGAGATTTAATTGCATTCTATCCACAAGAGATTCACTTTGAGTTTAAAGGCCCAGGTTTAAATTTACAAGATGAAAAAGATACACCATGCTAACAGTAAATTTAATAAGAATGGAGATGGGCTGGCATTGTGGCTTAGCAGGTAAAGCCGTCGCCTGTGATACCAGCATCCGTATGGATGCTGGTTCATGTCCTGGCTGCTCCACTTCCAATCCAGCTCCCTGCTAATGTGCCTGGGAAAGCAGTGGAAGATGGTCTAAGTGATTGGGCCTCTGCCACCCACATGAGAAACCAGGAAGAAGCTCCGGACTCCTGGCTTTGGCTTGGCTCAGCCCTAGCCGTTGTGGCCGTTTGGGGATTGAACCAGCAGATTAAATTCTCTCTCACTGTAACTCTGCCTTCCAAATAAATAAATAAAGGATGGAGAAGCTATGTTAGTATTAGAGAAAATAGACTTCAACACAAAATGTATTACCAGAGATAAAGACAGGTCCTCTTATCTCTGATAATGATACTTAGGAACGTGAATGAGCCAATAACAGCTTCAAAAGTCATAAAGCAGACACTGAAAAAGGGAGAGGATAATCTCACATACTTTTGTATTTTAACAGTCTCCCTCTGCAACTTAAACTAGATGAAAAAGCAGCAAAGACACAGGAGATCTGGAAAACACCATCAACTGCCTTGAGACAGCTGATATTTATATACCATATGATGGCAGAATACCCCTTTTTTTTAAGTGGACATGGTATATTTCCCAGGAGAGGCCATATTTGGGGTCCTAAAACAAGAGCCAATAAATGTGAAAACCATGAAATCAGAGTATGTTCTCTGACCACACTGAAATTAAGTGGCAAATTAATAATAATAAGATAATTAGAAAAATACCAACTTCTAAATAGCATCAGAGATGAAAACTACAAGAAAAATTAGGTAATATTTTGAATTCAATATTAATGAATATACAATATGTTAAGAACTGGTAAGGTGCACTTAAAGCTATACCTGGAAAAATAACTTCATAAATTTAAATATCTATAAGAAGAAATATATCAACATCTACCTATAGAAACCAAAGGCTTAAAAAAAAAAAGACACTTTGAATGTACACAAAATTGGCATCTATAATTCACAAGAGCCTTTCTTCAGAAACTTCTAGAAGACAATCTCCAGCCAACCAAGACATAATGGAGACATCTTCGGGGACTTCACTGCAGAGGTAAAGTAATAATGAAGGTGGTAACATGAGCGATGAAGGGGTATACGCTCTGACAGTACAGCAACAATACACTCAACAAATACCTGGGCCAGACATGAAAAGTTGGAGCACATAGTAGAATACTGACTTCTCAGTGGCTGGGAGTCAAATATGAAACGAAGCAATAGAAGCAGATTCAATAGAATGCAGGTTCGCACTCAACACAATACTACAAGACTGAGGGGCGAAGAGGAGGTGAAGGAGAGAAAGGACATGGGAGAGAACCAATGGCTGCCATCAAAAGGAAAGGAGTATGTTACATTAAAACTGAAGGTCATGACTAGAAATACTGATTAGGAAAACTATGGCTGTGTCAGTCTGAGACCGCTCTTGGAACCGGCGAGGGTTGTGGGCTCTGCCACCCAACTGAGCCCTCCTCGGAGCCTCTGAGGGCAGGGCTGGGAGGCCCCCGGGCTGGCCTCCCACCCACTCTCACCTGTCCAGCAGCTCAAGAACTCTGGATCCTCAGCACCCACAAGGTCCAGGACCCACAGCTCCTCCCCTTGCTCCAGCTGGGAGATCAGCTCCGGCTTAGGCACAGGGAATCCTGCGAAGGCGAGGACGCTGCGTGAGCTGGTGTGGCCTGGGGAGCTGCGACTGGGCACTGCCCCCAGGGGCTTCCAGGCGCGTGCACTGGTCAGGGGCTGAGAGGCCCGCCTCCCCCGGGGACTTCACTCAGCACCCGCGGAGTGTGCAGACACCAGGCTGGAATCTGAGGTCCACAGAACCCGAGCGGACCCCCGCGAGCCTCACCCAGGGAGGCCACGTTCCCGTAGTTCTCCAGCATCACGTCTCTGTACAGCGCCCGCTGCTGGGGCCCCAGCCGCTGCCTCTCGGCCGGGGAGAAGTACACAGCCACATCCTGGAAGGTCAGCGGCATCTCCTCCGGACGCCGGGCCTCGCGTCCGCCCGCGGAGCTCGGCCGGCGGGGGCGGCCCGCTGAGCTCGGCCGGCGGGGGCGGTCCGCGGAGCTCGGCCGGCGGGGGCGGCCCGGTGAGCTCGGCCGGCGGTGGGGCCAGGTGAGCTCGGCCGGCGGTGGGGCCAGGTGAGCTCGGCCGGCGGGGGCGGCCCGGTGAGCTCGGCCCGCGGGGGCGGCCCGGTGAGCTCGGCCCGCGGTGGGGCCAGGTGAGCTCGGCCGGCGGGGGCCAGCGGCGAAGCCCTCAGGAGACAGCGGCTCGGGCCCGGGGCCGGCCGAGCCACGGCCCTCGGAGGGGCCCGAAGCGGGCGCCGCGCGCCCTCCCCTCCGGGTCCTGCGGGCCTGCCCGACCCCGTGCCCCGCGGCTCGCCCCGGCCGCCCCGCGGGGCAGAGCGCGGCCCGCAGGCCCCGGCCGCCACAGCCTCACCTCAGCTTTCCGGCCGAGCGGGACCCGCCGAGGGGGTGGGGCCGCGCGCAGGGGCGGGGCCGGCCGCGCGGGGCCGCGCGCGCACCACCGCGCCCGCGCAGACGGCCGGAAATGGGTCTGGAGCCCCGCCCGCGCACTTCCGGGGCCTGCCCGCCGGCTGCGGTTTAACAGGGCCTGGCTCTCGCTCCCTCTCGCTCCCTCTCCTTCTCTCTCCTTCTCTCTCCTTCTTCCTTCTTCGCCCCTTCCCTCCGGTCTGTCCGGTTTCCCCACCAATAAACGCTTCACCTTGTTGTACCTGAGCGAGTGCAAACAAGGGAGCCCCACATTGATAAAATCTCACGGTCCTTTATTGCCACCGATGGAGAGTGGGCTCATGTCCTAAAGAACTCTCGACCCCGAAGCCCAAAGCAACAGGGTTCATTTTATTTGACAGGCAGCGTTAGTGAGAGAAAGGTCTTCCTTTTTCCATTGGTTCACCCCCAAAATGGCCACCATGGCTGGCGCGCTGCACCAATCTGAAGCCAGGAGCCACGTGCTTCTCCTGGTCTCCCATGTGGGTGCAGGGCCCAAGCACTTGGGCCATCCTCCACTGCCTTCCTGGGCCACAGCAGAGAGCTGGCCTGGAAGAGGGGCAACCGGGACTAGAACCTGGCGCCCATATGGGATGCCGGTGCTGCAGGTGGAGGATTAACCAAGTGAGCCATGGCACAGGCCCCAGCAACAGGGTTTATAAAGGCAAAAACCACAAAATCAGGAGGGGAACACATGGTTACCAGGGTCAAGCTGACCTAAAACCTATGCAAAACTAATATCAAATATAATTTTGATAATACCAGTTACAATCTTAACAGTTTCAAATATGATCTTGACATTAATCCAGGTATTAGTTTAAATCATATGTAGGACATAGACAAATTACATTTTTATCATTAACGCAGGTGCAGCCTAGGCTTCCAAGCTTAAGCAATCATGCTAGGGGGTTTCTGTGCTCTGCCAAGTGGGATGCAGCTTGCCAGGTGTGATGTGGTGGACTGCTCTTGTCCGAGTGTCTTAGATCATAGTTTCAGACCAGAGTCTCACGGTGGGCGGGGGTGCTTTCTCAAGATGGCGTCTCAGGTGCTCCAAAATGGAGTCTCTCCTGTCAAGGTGTTACTTCACCCTTACTCCGGAGTTTGGTGTGCTTCGTGGCAGCCTTACGCTGGACCTGTGTTGGGGTCCAGAGAGAGGATGACCACCTGGGGGTCTCTTACATTGCGGAAATTTGGAAAACACTCGGCTGCTTGTAGAGGGGGAGCCTTTTGTACAATGGAGGGACACACTGGTGCATGGTCCCCACCAGCGCGATGCTGTGCCACCATCCCGACCTCTGAGGAGCTCAGAGAGAGTGGTGCCTGGGAGACAGGAGGAAGAGTAGGAGCCAGGATGGCGTCCACCACAGGGTGGCTGCTGTGCGAGGCAGGGTTAAATCCATCAGAAAGGTCCATGAGGGCAGGGACTGAGCCTGGGTCCCTTCCTGCTGACCACAAACCCACAGCAGGGGTCCTGGAAGTACGTGCCACACATTGGCCAAGGCGTATTCGTTTTGTTTTTCAAATCTTCTAAGGTGGGTGTATGATCCCTGTGCAGGCATTCCTGGCTGATGTCCCTCCTACTTCCGGGGTGCCGACTTTTCCAGGGGTTCCATCAGCCGTGAGCACAAGGATGTAGATCATTTATTTCTGACAGCTACAGAAAAGTCAGCGTGATCAGCAACCTGTGTCTTCGGACCACAGCACAACCCGAACCAGCCAGGCAGGGTGGCAGCTGAGTGCCAGCCCCTTGAGGGGCGGGGTGGAAATTTTCAGAGTTAGCATAAGCCAGGGGTGTTGGTGGTCAGTGACGGTGGAGTCCCCTAAAGCTGGACTCCCCTTGTTTCCAGAGGAGTCTCAGGACATTGTGCCAAAGTCCCGCACAGGCTGTGCCTACTCCTCAATCCACAGTTTGCGTGGGAACCCAAGGCCCTGACATCAGAGGCAACAAACCTTCTCCCTTGCCCTGGCTGCCTAACGTACCAACAGCCCATAATAGTCACTTGCCTGCCTATCGCATAGTAACTTGCTATCCCATTATTGTTGTCTTTGGTAAAAACAAATTAAGAGAGAAAAATCTGAGTTATCTTTACAGGGTCCCTGATAAAACTCTACAGAACCGGCTGAAGCTGACCTTGTAACTGGAGCTCCCACAGATGGACTGAAGCTGACCCAAGAGTTGCCTGTGGCTGTGTGTGTGTGTGTGTGTGTGTGTGTGTAACAGATCTCCAGTGAGGTTTCA